TCAGCAAGAATTGAAACTGAGCAATCTCATTCCTCTGCATGTTTTTAAAGCTAGGCTAAATGAAATGCTTGTTGATACTATGGCCACTTGTAAATGTCTATAACTATGTAAATATAATGTATGATGTCCTTTATTGTTTTATGTTTCATGTGGAACCTAAATGCTGCAGGTCTCCCTTGAAAAAGAGATCTATGATCTCAATGGGACCAATCTGGTTAAATAAAGGTTTGAAATTAAATGAGGGGGGGGGTCACAAGGTCTTGTTTATCCTGGGTAAATTGACCTACCTGTTGACAGATCGACAGTTTGCCCCACAGGCTTTGTGCTATGTGGGCTTTGCACATTTAACTCAATGTTAACATTCTTCCTGCCTGCACTAACAAGCTCCCTCTATCATCAGTGTTATTATCTGCTCTGCTGCCTCAGCTGTGTTACTGCTCATTTACTTTAGGGGAAGAGGTTTTGTTGTTCAAGTATTCCACTTTTCTTAAATTGTAACATTTCTATTCCTTATAATAGCCTATGTACTTGACCTATTCAGTTCAACTTCTGGGCCATTTGTATACACTTTATATACTATACTTAGTATTAAACTGCTATTTTGACCCTTCAATCAGGAATCAATTCAGTTTATCTAATGTTATCTTATGGCGCTTTTCCACTGCAGGACCTAGAACGGCTTAGCACAGCTTGGCCTTGGTAGGCCAGGCTCACTTTAAGCTGCGTTTCCATTACAGTTTAGTAACTGGGGTAGTTACTATGGTAACGCAGTGTAGGCCCTAGGCGGGACGATCGGCTGTTCGGCGGGCGGAGCGACGCTGCGTAAAACTGCTGTGACGTCATCTTCAATGTGAAACACAAAACCAACATCAGCCGTTAGCTGTTAGCACTCAGAGCTCATATCTGTTCAGAAACTAGACAGAAGTTAAACGAGTACAAACCACAGACTGTCTGTGTCATGGCGGATACAGTCGCTGGTTTATTTATGTCTGTAGGCCGTTGTTGTGAGTGTGGACGGAGCATATACTGCGTTAGCTTAGCCTGATCAATCCGATCTCCATTCAGAAAACACGCATTTTAAAAGGTTTTTCAACTGCCGTCTTGTCTGCAGACCGGTATCAGTATGTTGTTACTTCGGCATCATTTTGAAACGTGTATTACAATTAAATCACGGTAAAATATGTTCATTTTGTTGTAGTAGTAGCCCCCTTGCCAGCTATTCTCTCTGACCATTTAGCAGTCGAGAGTGTTTACATCACTAGTTTAGCATATTCAGCCCGGTTGTTGGCCCGGTAAGAACCTCGATTTTGGAGGGGCAGAAAAAAGGTGAAAAAGTAGCCCTGGGCCGGAACTACCCCTAGTGGAAAAGCAAAAAAATACGTGCCGGGCCGCTACGTGCTGCAGTGGAAAAGCGCCATGAGTTAAGACAAACTTTATGTATCACGTAACATGGAAGAGGACGCAGTGTAAATTACTAAAGTGTTGCTCAAGTTTCACTTCTTTAACTCGGATGCTTTATCATGGGTTTGCACAACCATGCTGAGACACACAGACAACATGTACATGTGACTTTTACCCCACCATGTTGAATGTGTGTGTTCGTTGTATGCATGTGGCACCTCCATGCATACCAGTGGAGTCAGATCTGATGTGTGTAGTTGTTCTTTACTGCCCTGATACTCCTGGTCCCTCCCTGGAGGCCCACTGTTCATCTCTTCAGGACAGACGGTGTTAAAACTCCAGCAGCTTGGCTCTAACACAAAGCTGTTGTTAAAGCTATAACAGAAGGGCAGTTTGATGAAAAGCAACAAAGGGAATTGGAAGATTCTAGTTCTCCTGTGTTCTCCCTGCAGCTCAATGTGGTGATGTGCAGAGTTGTGAGGGTTACTTTAAAAAATGTGTTCAAAGAAAAAGCAACCTCTTAATCCAGATATCTTGCCATGACTCGCGCATGCATGCATGTGCACGGTGTGGCATGAACACCAAAACAGAAAGATATTGACACAAGATGTGTGCAAATGTATTTAGTTTCCTATCCATGTGAACATGATTTAAGTGTACCTAACCTCCTCTAGGGGGGTCCGGGGGGCATGCTCCCCCGGGAAGATTTGTTTTTAAATGTTGAAGTTAAAAGCATCAATCTGGTGCACTTTGAGAGCAACACTAGGAGATCTATGGATACATCTCTCAACATCCATATGAAACAGAACTGTAAACAGATTTTCTTTTTCTTTATGGATATTTTACAAATCACTCCCCTTTCAAACTGTATTCTTGTTTATTAATAACAACTTTTTTTACTGTCGTATAGTATTTTATACCTGTTTACTTTATTCTCTTATAACTATAATTATCATATAAAGATGTGCCTTTACCTCACTGGTTGTAGACAAAGCTTCTTATATTCGTTAGCATAGCTAGCTAACCAGATGCTAATAACAACAAAGTTATTGACTGTATGATCAGTATGACAGATGAGCAGATCGCCAATGGTCTTACAACTAAAGACACAGCCACGCAAAACCTGCAGCATGTGTACGGCGCCTTATGGGTACTGCAATTTTTGGAAGTGCCGGAGCGGAGCTGCGTTCTGGTGCTCCCCGTCAGAACTACACCCCTGTCAGAGATACCAAGTGATGACATGTAAGGCTTGTGTTGTGTTCAAGGACCCTGACCTTGGCCAGGAAAAACAGGCACTCACTTGTTTAATTATCTAGATTTCTTTAATTTTTTTCTTTTTTGCGTGTGTTTATAAAGTACCTCGAGGGCCACACCAAATTGTCTCGCGGGCCGTATACGGCCCGGGGGCCGGAGGTTCCCCACCCCTGCCTTAGATAATGACAGTAGCCTATATGTTTACGTATTTTTCTATGTAACTGTAGGGGAATACAGTTAGCCTACCTTTTTTTGTATCATGTTTGCGTAATCTCATTATATGTAATCCGTTGCTCCCTAAACCTGGGTATGTGTTCCAAATGTGTTCTGGACAAATTCTATGATATGTTTTTTCATAAAGTTTCAAACCAACAAGAACTTCACAATGGTAAAATAATCGATGACGGTAGATAGAATGTCTGAATATGTCTCTGTCACTTTAATATTTGGATTTGGATTTGAAGTCGCACATATATCAGAAAACCAGAGCTGTTTACCAAGCGCAGTAATCACAGCACATCCAAGATTACAAAAAGAAAGGCTTGTACTTGTTCCCTGCGTCATTGGGCCATATTTCGTTGGGATTTGGAAACTGTGCTTGGTCTGAAGTGAGTGGAACAGCAGGCTGCCAAAATATACAGAACATAAGCTGTTCCTGCCGTGTGATCAGAGCGAGAATCAAATGACTTTATCCTCCCAAGTGCAGTTACAGTCCTCGGAGAAAAGCTCTCTGCAGTTCAGTTTTAAGTGAAAGTCTAAGACTGTGGCTGACACAGCAAATCTGACCCACATTCTTCTTCACTGCTCCTTCCAACAACGTTCCTTCTTCTATTTATTTTTACTTGCTTACGTTGTAGACACTTTCTGATAAACTGATCATTGGGATTTGTCAAACAACGGAAAACGTACTAAAAAGTAGTACTTAAAAACAATCCTTTTGGTAATTCAATTATAAAATTCCAGTAAAGACACATTGAATGCAGCTCTTATCTGTGTATGTCTTGTTCTGTTTTTTAATTGTGTTCTATAAATCTTCAGATTTCTGTTGTCACTTTTTCCAAAGTGTAAATAAGTCTATGTTTTTTTCACTGCATGCCTGTGCTTTATAACTGTGGAAAATAAATCACATACCGCACTGAATTAGAAGCATCTCTGTCTGCAGACATACTGTGGGACATGTGATCATGTGTGCATCCTGAGACACGGCAGTAATTACATTCATTCCATTAAGAGGCATAACTAGAAAGGCATGTGACACTGTAGCAACTGAATTAGCACCTCCAAAGAATGTTCCAGCTTAATGAGCTATTGTTGCATATGACCACCTATCAGCGAGCCAGGGACTCGTTATGGGATAACCCCATGATGTCACCGTGGTAACCTACTATTTACAGAAGCGTTTAAGGCCCAGGCAAAAGGGGATACATTTAGTTGTTTCCTAAAAAGGGGCCCTTTTTAATGCTCATTTTCAGGTTCACATCTGTATGTAGTGCCTCTACTGGGACATGTCTCCATGCTTTAAAGTTCAAAAAGCTCTTTATATTTCTCATACTGCCTGTGCTGCAGCACCTCTTTTCACCCTCTGTCTGAAACCAGAGCCCAGTCTGCTCTGATTGGTTAGCTGGCTGTGTTGGAGCCTGGTTGGAGCGTGTTACATAGTGATGGCACTATGTTACTGAAGAAAACAAAGGGATTTTTGCCTATGAGGACAATTTACATGCACAAAAACCTATACAACACATCCAAAAAGCATAATGTGCTTAATGATGTTAAAGATGTCATTAACTGTTAATGACCTGTGATGTGTTTTTGTGTTCCTTATGTTTGTTGTGTTTATGTGGAAAGGGTGTTATGTGTGCATGAGTATTTGTGTGTAGACCCCAGGAAAAACGAACGGGTTTAATAAAGACCTGAGATAAAATGAATCGGAGGAGAATAAATGTTTTGCATTTGCAACAACACATTTGCCATGTGAAGATCAAAGTCACATTTTAGAGACATAATCAAAGTGCCAAGTGCATTTACTGAAAGTTTGACTTTACCCGCAACAATTCAAATGAACTCTAGAAATACAAAAATAAATAGTGTCCTATTTTTTTCCCCTTATTCCAGGCCACGGTTTGAAGAGATATCCCTTTTGGTATTACGTTTCTCCAACATGATAATACATGCAGTGCATCTCCGTCTGGATACATAGATCAATGCACATTGAAAAATGACTAGATATGTTCAGGATTGCACAGCAGGCTGAACATTCTTATATACATTGTTGGACTAATCTCATCTTGACTGTAAATCAGGCTCTTTATTTAATTCTAGTTTCTGTTTGTGCCCCCCCTCCGCAGGCTCGGATCTCCTTCGTGCGGGTGAAGTATCTGTTCCTGACCTGGCTGGCGGTGCTGGTGGGCAGCTGGGTGCTCTATGTGCAGTACTCAGCGTACACAGAGCTGTGCAGAGGACACGAGTGCAAGAACGCCATCGTGAGTAATGGCTTTGTTTGTTTCCACCCTGTTATATCGATTATTTTGTAATGGACTTTTATTTTGCAATTACCACTGCAAGGAACACCTAGTCTGAGGTCGAGGATGTTTAAAGGCCAACCCCATGCATTTATCTGGCTTCTGTGTGTGGCAACTAAACATTTTTGTGAATACTCCTTGTCTTGTCTTTTGATAAGATGGAGAAATTAAATAATCCTGCTCTCTGATTATCAGACATGCACGATGATAACATTTTCTCTTTTTCTCCAAGTGTGATAAATACAGGAAGGGGATAATCGATGGGTCTGCATGCAGCAGCCTGTGTGACAAAGACACTCTCTACCTGAGCAGGTGTCTGTCAACGCTGGCTGATAACCAGGTAGGAAGCTCAATTAGGAAACTAAGTTGTAACTCTACTTCTCGAGATGTTTCAGCTTGTTTACTATGTGGGTAAATGTTCTCCAGGTGTACACAGGAAGCTGGGGGGACCACGATGGGATCATCCGCTGTAAGCTGGGGGAGGTTGTGCACTTAGAACTGGGCGAGGAGCCGGAGCCCCGGAGAGAAACCCCCGTGTTCGACAAGCCCACCAGAGGCACCTCAGTGGAGAAGTTCAGAGAGATGGTCTTCAATCACCTCAAGGTAAAGGTCTTTCGTATACAACCAAACATTCTAGTGTGACGGGACGACCCCCTAAGTTTCCGCCCCTCTCTTTCCACCAGTCCAAGCTCGGAGAGCAGACTAACCTCGCCAGCCTCGTCAGCCAGATCCTCACTGTCGCCGACGGCAACACAGATGGACGGGTGTCACTACCAGAAGCCCGCTCTGCGTGGGCCCTCCTGCAGATGGATGAGGTAGAATAAGAAGCCTCTGAAATTAGCAACTGTTATCTGTGGCACAAAATATGGTGTTTTTGTATACAATTTCTTAGCATGGAAAAGTGTCAATGTTTTGGTGGATCTTTGAAAAATATTCAAATTAAAGGTGGGGTAGGTAAGTTTGAGAAACCGGCTCGAGATACACTTTTTGTTATATTCCATGGAATGCTCTTAACATCCCGATAGCAATGAATATCTGAAGTGCTTTGACAACAAATCCATAAAAATGTCATCTGTGGAAGCCGTGGCGCTGTAAAAAGCACGACCAATCATCTGAGCCGGCCCGGCTAAAGTAACTGGATGGCCTACCTGCCTGTCAGCCTTCCATCTGTGCACAAACCTATCTCGTGCCCTCATTGGTCATGTGCGCATTCGTGTGTGTTGGAGGAGGGGCTCTGTAAGGAAGTGGCAGATTTTTTTCCGGCTGTGTATTTTCAAATTCTAGCGCACTCTAGCTGGTTTCTCCAAAATTACCTACCCCACCTTTAATGTTTAAATAAGTTTTAATATGTTTTAACAAGTCTGCAATAAATCTTTAAAAAGTCAACATGCTGAGATATGGTGGGTAGCATTTCGTTTTTTTATCTGACATGCAATTTAAAAATCTCCCAAATAATTGGTATCTTCTTTCTCAACACAATTTACAGAAAGCCTCACACAGCTTTATGTATGATGATCCTCGTCTGCTAGTTACGGCAAAATGGTGAAGGGTCGTATCTAGACTGTAATTCTCATTTAGCAAATACACTCGCAAACTTGCTTCCCAACGACCTCTCGTAACCTTTACCATTAATGGTCATTGCTTCACCTCAAACATCACCACACGACTGAATGTGCAAATGAGAAAGTGCAAATTCAAATGAATGTACCAGTATTCAAAGGCATGGCTTAAACCTGTATTTAGTGCAGGAAGTGTTTTTTAAGTTGGCACGATGAGAATCAAGGTAGTGGAATCCAAGATAATGAGTTATCGTGAACTTGATCTTACATTCCATTTCAATAAAAAAGTATTTAGTCTTACTTGCCTCGATCTGTACTAACCCTAATCTGCAAACAAACAATGATTCTAGCTCTTCAGTGAGACCCATTCCTGCCTTGTTTCCAGGTGCTGCTGGGCCTCCTGCTGCAGGACCGCGGTCACACTCCTCGCCTCCTGGGCTTCTGCGGGGATCTGTACATGACGGAGCGCGTCCACTACGGGCCCCTGTACGGTTTGTCTCTCCCATGGCCCCTGGTGTCCTGGGTCCCCAGTAGCATGCAGCGCTCCATGGACCAGTGGTTCACCCCCTCATGGCCTCGCAAAGCCAAGATCTCCATGGGCCTCCTGGAGCTGGTGGAGGACCTCTTCCACGGCACCTACGGAAGCTTTCTGATCTGTGACCTCGCTGCAGCGCACTTTGGTTATACCGATCGACACGAGCTCCGTCTGACTGACGCCCGGGCGGTGGTGTCTGAGGACGAGTTCAAGCGCACCATGCGGGCGCTGAAGTGCGAGACGGACGCTGACTGTGTGTACGGGGTGGACTGCAAGACCTTGTGTGATTTGTCGGAGAAACGATGCAAGGAGGAGCCAGTTCAGCCCAACCTGGCGAAGGCGTGCGGCACACTGAAGGACTACCTCCTGCGGGGGGCGCCCTCAGGGATGAGGGAGGAGCTGGAGAGGCAGTTGTACTCCTGCATGGCTCTCAAAGCTAGTAATGCTGGACAAATGAACATGGAGCACTCCCTTATTCTCAACAACCTGAAGGCTCTGCTGTGGAGACAGATCTCGCACACCAAGGACTCGTGACAAGGACGGGAAGTCACCTGAAGTTGGTTCCTCACACGGAGTATGAAAGATGCTGTGATTTAGGAATAGCACATTTAATGAAGTAGTTTTTATTTACTCTATAAACTCTTGAACGGTCAGACTGATGGAGACTCTATACACTCTTGAACGGTCAGACTGATGGAGACTCTATACACTCTTGAACGGTCAGACTGATGGAGACTCTATACACTCTTGAACGGTCAGACTGATGGAGACTCTATACACTCTTGAACGGTCAGACTGATGGAGACTCTACCTCCTCTCTCCGAGCGTCAGAAGTTGGGCCTGGAAAACAAGGCTAAGAACTTTGAAATACTAAACTCGACTGAATGTTTGCATGTTACCATCAGTTATACTTAAAGCAGATCATGCAGCCACACTATATTGTATTGTATTGTTCACCACAGTGGAATGTTTTTGGGGGCACTGCTGGAAAAATGAAACGTCTCGCGCTGGGAGACCAAATTGCTGTTTTTGCCACTAAATCATGCAGGTATGTATGGCCTGAGAAGGATTTAAAATCACGGTGTTGTACAAAGCCCCAGTTGGAAGTGTAATGACACCATTATAAGATAGGATCCTTGACTTTGTTATGTTGAATGGGACATATCATGAACATCTCACTTTCCTATTGCTTCTGCACTTAGAGTCCATATCAGGAAAGCCTACCTCTGCACAAACTGAGAAATAAGATAACCCAGTTAGATTCAACAAGTCATTCAGGTTTGGCTTCCCTTCGTATGTCACATGTAGCCTCATTAGAATATACTCCCTCTCCAGCTTTACAAGTACCTTTGCAAAGTTGCGTCATATTCTTTTCGCAAGCCAATTAAAGCAGACTTGGCTTTTTCAAGACGAGGTCTTAAAGAGACAGGCGCTCAAACGGACTGTTTTGGACAGACACTGAGTAGAGAGTTATTTAGAGTGACAGAATGAGAAAAATAATGTGTTTGTTGAACATTGAAGCATGAAAAGATGATCGATTACAACCCATAAAACAAGTAAGAGCCTGAAAATGAGCATGATATGTCTCCTTTAAAGTTGCTTTTGAGCACTATAGCTTAATCAGGGAGTGTACCTAAGGTTAAGATAAGGCTGGTGATATTCCATATTTTCGTTTTACAGAAAATTCTGTTAAAAGACCAAACAAAGGTTTATTTGTTAGTACTACGCTGTCTTAGAGTACGACTTGGAGTATAAATCTTTATAAACGGCTTGCAAAATTGTACTTTCCCTCGTTAAAAGAAAGTGATTTTGTTTTTCTTGTAGACTAAGCTGCAGATTAATTCAAATTTGGTGCATTAGTGAGTATTGAAAGCAGCAGGACAGTGTGTGGCATTGACCAAAATGAAACCCAAGTTCATTCAAATGAAGGTCACCCTGCTGAAGTATTTAAGACTTCCACTTTAGACTTGGCTACAAAGATTGTACAGAATGATGAACTGCTGGTTTTCAGGGGTTGTCTTTACAATAATTAAAGTATAGAATATCACAAGACTTCACCTTTAACACGTAGCCTACAGATAAGTGAACATTTAAGGGAAAAATGAAAAGATTTGTAGCAAAATTAAACAAAGGACATGTCTTTATACAGGGTACAGAGTAGAAGAGGGTCTATGCCAAGAAGCATTGAAGCTTTTCCTAATTGTCACTCATCTGCATAAGGCCGTTTATTACATTCAAAGTGGAAAACTTGAAGGATATGTCTGTCAGTATTCCACCGACAACATTCTGTATGTCAGTGCACTTCACTGCTGTACATTTCTCACCTGTAACACTAGTGACAATATTAATGTATTTCATTTGTGAATGTTATCTACTTGTATTTCTCACTACAAAGAGCATTTGTAGTATTGTGCTGTATCACATTTTTGGGGATTTCAGTGCCATAGAGATCATCCTGAAATCATTTACGAATGTTTGCCAACTGTGATGGTGGAGATCTTTATCAACGTGTGGTCACATCTGAATGCTGTACAAAGAGGATTTTTCATGATCCCTTCTGGAAGTTGTGAAGCTGCTGAGACCGACTCAACATCCTGGCTTGTGTAACCACTCTAAATACAGACATGACCTGTAGCATGTCGAGCTTGTGGTCAACGCTGCTGTTTGAATTTTGAAAATGTAAAAAAAAAGTTGACTTATTGAAGAGACCAGCATGATTTGCACAATTAAACTACATACCACTTCACTGTGACCGTTTTTTACTTCAAGAGGCCTATCCTACTTTTGGGGGGTTTTCCTTCTCCTGTATTATACTGTAGGTTTTAGTGCATGTAAATGGCTTGCAGAGGCTCAAATCTCTGTGTTCCCTCCTGAGGGAGTTTCTCTTACACACTCCCCCCTCTCTGAAAACCCTCCATTTGACTCCTTTATTCACTTCTATAACATGGTGATAAGGGGCCAGACATCTCTAAGCGGTTGACCAATCCCAACAGAGCCGGCCAGATAACCAATCAGAGCAGACTGGGCTCTGGTTTCAGACAGAAGGTGAAAAGAGGTGCTGCATGAAAATGAGAACAAGTCCTCTTTCGAATGTACCTACTACCAACTACTTCCACTTTTGTGAGAATTCACTTCACACATTTTTTTGTGGGCAATAATTGTTGCTACATGCCTCGGCTGGCTTTAATTGATAGACATGATTCAAGATTCTATTGTCATGTGCCCATTAGCTACAGTGCAGATATGGCAATCAAAACTTAAGTCACAGGCTCCTCCAACAGTGCAACATGAATATATGACATAAAAAAAGATAAAATCATGCAAGATAATTTTTTGAGATGTGCAAGTAAATACAAATGAAATAGTGCAAGAAGAGTCTATACAAGTAAATGGAATATGATATATAGATAAATAATTTGCAAGATGCAAACGGATGAATGTCCGTGGATGTTCACTCAGGTGTTTAATAGTCTTATGGCCTGTGGAATGAGACATTTGAAGATAATGCATACACAGGGTTCCTGCAGGTTTCGCCTACTCAAATTTAAGACTTTTTAAGACCACTTTGAATAGAATTTAAGACCTATTTCACGGCAATAAAGTATGAAGGAAAATTGCTATGAAAGAAGAAATACGTCCCATAATTACTTACAAAGTAAATGTATTCATGTTCAACATAAGAACAATGACTGAACATAACAGCATAACAGTACACAGAACTGTGTTAGCGTGTTAGACAAAAAGTGTGTGTGTTAGGGCTGTGCAATTAATCGTATTTTAATCGCAATTACGATTTTGGCCTGCCACAATTACGAAAACAACATAATCGAAAAAAACTGAATGTTGCTTTGCTTGGTTGTGCACTACAACATATTTGATCTAATTAATTTTAGTCTAATTTATTTATCATATTTATATGTTTAGTAGATTGTGGAAGTGCCCTCCAAAATATTTGTTGATCTTGTTTATTGGTATTTATTATTTATATTTTAAGTTAAGAGAGAGAGAAGCTATATTATATACAACAAAAGGTGGAGCGGGCTTCAAACACATTCCCCTCCACTGGTTTCAACCAAATACGGTTGAACTTACTCACACTTCCCCATATTTATTTGTAAGTAGGTTCGAAGATACATGAGTTTCTGACTGCCGCGAGCTGATGCTTGGTTGCTAAGTTACTAGCTGGGTGTTCTCCGATAAGGGGCCGGGGAAACAAAGTTAGTGATTACTGGTTCCATGTTGATTTATTTCAATACAAATTGTTGGGGGGAACTGAAAGGCTATTACCGGTTACTTTGCAGCCCGGACATTTCCCCAAAAACACATTTTAGACGCGATCGCAACACAGAAGTCCCTTTCAAATCCCATCATTTTTAAGACCTTTCTTATTTTTTTGTCATATTTAAGACCTTTTTAAGGCCTTAAATTCAGATTATCAAATATGACTTTTTAAGACCTCACGGGAACCCCGCATACACTAGTTCTACATAACCTCACAAAATGTAATGCATTGCTGTTTTACAAGCAGTTCATTATGGGTATTTTAACCATATCAAAAAAGAGACTGACCCAAATGTTTCTTAAATCTCAATCTCTCCATTCCAGTGTCGGTTGAATTCCAACACAGAAATGTTGTCAGTACTTTAGGGCCTCTTTAAACTGCACTGAGTTGTTACACTTTGAGCATGGTTTCCACACAATTAGAAAAATCAAGAAATTGAAATATATTTGTTTAAATAAAAACATTTAATTCATATTTTTTAACAAGAGAAAACCTAAGTTCTAGCTCTTTAACTCCTTAAATCTGATATAGTAAATAAAGCTCTGATGGAAAGGATTTAAGTTTTTAAAATCCCAATTCAAGCTTCCCATTTTTAACCTTTGAGCTTCCGTAAAGCCTGATAGTTCTCCTTGTAAAAAATGCACTATGGTAACAGTAACTTATATTGTTCCATGTCTAAAAATATGCTGTGTTTGGAGCTTGAATTGGAGCCTGTATAGTCCTTGAAGAACCTTTGGGTGAGTCCCATGAATAGATTAAAGATAATTACTGTAAATAATATTATATATATTATTCATGGGTGTAGTTTAAACAGTCAAGGGCAAAGAAAGCCCTATTAAAAAGTACAAACAACCACTCAACACAACACACACATGACTCATTGAAAAAATAATTGCCAAAGACAAGAGCTTGAGTTTGCAATAAATGTATTTGTTTGTGATTTGTCTGTGATTTGTGTGGAGTTTTTTCAGCGGGGCTCCTAACCGTCCCCTTCTTCTTGCTCTTGCGCTCGTAAGAAGCTGGCCTTTTTCTGGGCGACGCGGTCCTTCCTCTGTGCCAGAGATAACTTGGCGCGATTCCACCTGCCGGAAACAAAACACAACAAGAGCCCCATTAACATTCAGCTCAGCAGAGAGAAGTGTTTGTCCGCTCAGCACTGGGAGCTCCCCAGTACAGAAAGCAGGGGTCCTGCCGCTTTCAACAACTCAAATTTAAGACTTTTTAAGACCACTTTGAGAATGTAAGGGTGCATTCACACCTAATAGTCCTCTTCTCTGGTGCGCACCAGACCACAGTTTGTTACATTGTTTCATTTCTCAGAAGGTTCGATTTGCGTTCACACAGGCAAAATTCAATCAAAACTCAAATGGACTATAAACTTTAAACACAAGTCATGTGCACAGAAATGCTGTTCAACCATTGGTCAGACATTAAGGGGGTAAAAACGCAAATCCCAGCAATTTCTACCGGAGCCTCCACCATGGAGCATCAGCACTTTCGGCAGGTTATTCTCATGCTGCTGTTAATCTGGAGATCAACAGACACTAGCGGCCCGCGCATATGATTATATAATCAGACAACGTCCGTTAAAAAACATTATAACACATATAATGAGAGACGTTCTGCAGTAAGGAGGGGCGTTTCACCGACGACAGGTACAGGTACTTTTATGTAGTTGACGGAGCATTTTTACTTTACACGACACTGTTCAACACTTCATTCACTTCACTCTTTAACTAAACAACCGCGGATGTCTTGAAAGACTCTTTCGCTAAAGATTTTGAAGACATCCGCGTTCTTGTGACACGTAAATACTACGCTTCCTATGTTTTGGTGCGGACTGCGTTCACACCAGCAATGAACCGCTCCAGAGTTCGCAAGCAAGTGTTCCGAGACCACCTATTTTAGCGGACCAGAGTCCGGTTGTTTAATTCACTTAAGAGGTCTCGGACTGTGTTCACACCGACCCAAATGAACCGCACCAGGGTTCGATTCAACCGGACTATAAAAGGCTGGTGTGAATACGTCCCATAATTAGTAAATGTATTTATGTTCAACATAACGATGACTGAACATAATAGCATAACCGTACAAGAAATGTGTCTCTGTACTCTCTGTCTCTGCATGTGTGTGACAAGAGCTATCTTCTGAGCTCTGCTGCCTTGGCTACAATCGTTCATCGTTGCTGTTGTAGGATTGGTGTTTAGCTACAGTATTTAGCGTCCATAGCAGCTCCGCTTTTAGGGTTGACGTAGACCCAAACATCACCCGGAGGTTGTTGCGGGGGAGATGCTGCTAGGGATGTCCCGATCTCATTTTTTAGCTTCCGATCCCGATATTTTCATATAGGTTCCGATCCGATCCCGATATTTCCCGATACCGGTTTTCCGATACCCGATATCACTTTTTGTGTTGGCAAACAGCATTTAATTTCGTATACATTAAGAAATAGACAGGCACCCAAATAATTTATTAGACGACAAAAACCGGAGTTTTCCACAAGTGAAATTGGCTGGTCGTCCCCTGCTATGCACTCCACAATCAGCTCAGTAATCTTGCGAAATCTCTCGGAGTCTCGAGGAAGTAAAGCCTTTCGTTTCAAGCTGTCCCGCAGTGTTTGTTGATGGAGTCCATCAGTCGCAGACGCTGTCGCTTTACAGTATTTTAAGATGTTTTATTAGGTTTGTGGTGTTGTAGGAGACCCTGTTAGCACCAACTCGTGAGACTTCCACACCACAGACTTTGCATGTCGCAGTCGGCGACTCACTTGTAGTTATTTTAAAATGATGCCAAACTGCAGACATTTTAACTAGCTAACGATATGTGTCCGTTCCACTTTTCCAACTCGATAATGGCGGCTGATGCAATAGAACAACAACGACAAACAACGTAACAACGGAATCATGGGAAATATTAACTATGGATCGGCCATGACATTTAATTGGATCTGCCGATCCTTAAAACCCAGTATCGGGGGCCGATACTGGGTTTACTAACGCTACATTTGCACACAAAAAACGCTACATTTCTCTGCAAAAGGTGCAGCGGGCTTCAAACACGTTCCCCTCCACTGGTTTCAACCAAGCACTAAATTCGATGTTTTCCAACCAAATACGGTTGAACTCACACTTCCCCATATTTATTTGTAAGTAGATTCGAAGATACCCGAGTTTCTGACTGCCACTAGCTGAAGCTCGGTTGCTAGGTTACTAGCTGGGTGTTCTCCGATAAGGGGCCGTGGGAAACAAAAAAGTTAGTGATTATTGGTTCCATGTTGATTTATTTCAATACGAATTGTTGGGGGGAACTGAAAGGCTATTACCGGTTACTTTGCAGCCCAGACATTTCCCCCAAAACACATTTAAACACAGAAGTACCTTTCAAATCCGATCATTTTTAAGACCTTTTAAGGCCTTAAGGCGAGACACCCCAGGTGAATAGGGTAATTTTTTTAACTTAAAGGT